AGCATATTAACTGGTGCAGCCATTATGGAAAAGAGCATGGAGGTTCCTTAAATAACTAAAAATAGAACTCCAATAAATAAATAGATCCAATAAGGCCATTCCTGGGCATATATCCAAAAAAGAGAAAAAGTCTTAATTCAAACAAAAATACATGTATCCCAATGTCCACAGCAGCACTATTTAAAACAGCAAAGACATGGAAGCAATCTAAGTATCCATCAACAGATGAATGGTAAAGACGTTGAATATATACAATTACTCAATCATAAAAAAGAATGAAATATTCCCATTTGCAGCAACATGAATCTACAGATTATCATACTAAGTGAAGTCAGAGACAAATATTATTTATCACTTACATGTAGAATCTAAAAAATAATACAAATGAAGTTATTTACAAACAGAAACAGACAAACAGACATGGAAAATAGGCTTATAGTTACAAAGGTGAAAGGGAGAGGTGGGATAAATTAGGAGTATGGGATTAACAGATACACACTAATATATATATAAATAACATGTATTTACTGTATAACACAGGTAACCATATTATCTTTGATAACCTACAATGGAAAAAAACCTGTAAAAAAATATAATATGTAAAAAAGATACATACAACTGAACACTGTGCTGTACACCTGAAACTAATATTATAAATCAACAATATTTCAATTTTAATTTTTTAGTATTAAAATTAAATTAAAACATTTAAAAACTGAACAAATGTAAAATGAATAACTCTTAGATCTATCAAAGAATTGAGGTCACAGGGCAAACTGCTGCCCTGAAAAAAGGAACAAAATCAAAACCTATCATTAAAAAATCCAACAAAAATAAAACAGGTTTTTCCTTATTCCTTATCACATACAATGTGATATAAGAAATACAACTGAATATATCACATTCCATCATCAGAATGACAGATATGGCACACAAAATTGAGTCATAAAGCTCACTCATTTTTGCATGAGAATCCCTTGGAAAATGCCTTGGACAGAGGAGCCTGACGGGCTACTGTCCATGAGATCACAGAGTTGGACACAACCGAGCGATTAACATCAACAATGGAAACATGGCTTCCCAGGCGGCTCAGTGATAATCAACCTGCCAATGCAGAAGATGCAAGAGATACGGGTTTCATCCCTGGGTTGGGAAGATCTGCTGGAGAAGGGAGTGGCACAGGCTCCAGTATTCTTGTCTGGAAAATTCCATGGACAGAGGAGTGTGGCAGGCTACAGTCCATGGGGTTGCAAAGAGTTGGACCAGGCTGAGTGCATACACATGCACGCATGTGCGTGCGCATGCACACACACACACACAGAAAAACAGATCTAGACAAGAACATTTGCAGTCACTGTTTCTACTGGAAGTCCTAGCCAATAAACAATAAACGAAAAAGGCATAGGGGCTCTAAAGAAAGATGTGAAACTATCATTATTAATATATACTATACTTAATTATATAAAAAACTCTACAAGAATCTATAGGCAAATTATTCAAATAACACAAGTTTAGCAATACAGCTGGTTATAAGATAAAAATACACAAATCAATTAGTTTAATTTCTATGTACCAGCAACAAAATAGATAAAAATTTTAATTTAAAAAGATGCAAGAATACATTAAAAGGATCATATACCATGATCAAAGGGGATTTGTCCCAGGGATGCAAGGATTTTTCAGTATCTGCAAATCAATCAATGAAACACACAACATTAACAAACTGAAGAATAAAAGCCATATGACCATCTCAGTAGATGCAGAAAAAGCTTCTTACAAAATTCAAGATACATGTACGATAAAAACTCTTCAGAACCTGGGCAGAGAGAAACATACTTCAATATAATAAAGATGCCATCCAAAAACTACTGGAGCTCATCAATGAATCTGATAAAGTTGCAGGATACCAAATATACAAAAATTTATTTCATTTCTATGCACTAACAAGCTATCAGAAAAAGAAATTAAGGAATTATCCCTTTTACAACTGCATCAAAAAGAATAAAATACCTAGGGTATTTTTTTTCCCCCACCCTAGGGTATTTTTATAAGAATAAAATAAAAAAAACCTACCTGAGAAAGTAAAAGACTTCTACTCAGAAAACTGTAAGACACTGATCAATTGAAGATGACATAAACACAGATGTGTTCATAGAATGGAAGAATTAATATTGTTAAAATGACCACACTGCCCAAGGCAATCTACAGATTCAATGTAATCCCTATCAAGATACCAAGGTTATTTTTCACAGAACTAGAACAAACAATTTTCAAATTTGCATGGAAACATAAAAGACCCAAACAGCTAAAACTATCTTAAAGAACAGAACCAGAGGAATCATGCTCCCTGACTTCACACTATACTATTTAATACAAAGCTACAGCAATCCTCAAAACAGTATGGTTCTGGCACAAAAACAGAACCACAGATCAATGGAATAGAATAGAGAGCTCAGAAGTAAATCCATGCAATTGTGGTTAATCAATTTACAACAGAGGCAAGAACATATTCAGTGGAGCAAAAACAGTCTCTTCAATAAGCAGTGCTGGGAAAAGTAGACAGCAACATGTAGAAGAATGGAACTAGAATATTCTCTAATACCATGTACAAAAAGAAAAAAAAACACCCTCAAAATGGATGAATGACCTAAATGTAAGATCAGAAACCATAAAACTTCTAGGAAAGAAAAAGGCTAAGCACACTTTGACATAAATTGTAGCAGTATTTTTTTGGATCTGTTTCCTAAAGCAAAGGAAAATAAAAGCAAAAATAAACAAATGGGAATTAATTAAGCTTAAAAGCTTTTGCACAGCAAAGGAATCCATTCAAACGACAAAAAAACAAGCTACCAAATGGTAGAAAATATTTGCAAGGATAAGGAATTAATATCTTAATGGCTCATACAACTCAACATCAAAAAACAAAACAACCTGATTAAAAGTGGACAGAACACACACACAATGGAATACTACTTAGCCATGAAAATAACGACAAGAATTGCAACAAGAAGAATGGACTTGGAGGGTATTACATCAACTGAAGTTAAGTCAGAGAAAGACAAATACTGTATATTACTTATATGTGGAATTTAAAAAATAAAACTAGTGAATGTAACAAAAAATACAAACTCATGGATACAGAGAACAAACTAGGGGTTACCAGTGGGGAGAAGTAAGCAGGAGGGGCAACAAAGGTGTAGATTAAAAAATACAACCCAGAATGTGTAAATTGAATAAGATATAAGGATATATTGTACAGCAAAGGGAATACAGCCAATACTTTATAATAACTATAAATGAATATAACCTTTAAAACTTGTGAATCACTTTGTTGTACACTTGAAGCTTACATAATATTTCATATCAACTCTACCTCCATAAAAAGTAACTATAAAAAATTATAATGGCATTTATATTACACTAAAATTAAAATAAATACTATTTACATCAGCAATAAGATCAATAAGGAATGAATTAAGAAAAGATACTCAAATCATACAGAAAAACTAAAAAATTTTATTGGAAGAAATATTATTAAGTATTATGTAAATAAATTGAAGGTACTCAATGTACATGGATAAGAACAATGAAAATAGAAAATATGCCAATTTTCTCAAAATAAAAGTAGCAATTTAACACAATTACAATAAAAAGTCCAACAGACCTTCTAAACCTGACAAGCTGATCCTAAAATTAACATGATAAAGGACTTAAAACTGGCCAGAGCACTACTAAAATGAGGAATAAGGCCTGTGTGTGGCATCAGATAGGGAGACTTCCTATAAAGCTATGTAACTGAGATAGCATGGAGGATGATATTAGTGAAAATGAAGACTAAGAACCTCTGAAAATACTCCATAAAAAGAACAAGGAAACTAATAAAGTGGCAGAAGCTACTTTTTTGAAACTCTAGAAATTAACCAAAGACTTGTACCAATCTGGAGAGTATTTATAAGAAGAATGGCGGAACTGTGATTAAAAACAGCAAGCTTTGTGTCATTTTAACTTTCCTAGTCCCCTCCCCTCCTTTCCAGTTTAGCATTAGCCTTAAAAACCAACAGTCAGCAATCATAGTAAAAACCAGCAGCTGGGTATACACTGGAGAGGGCAAATGGGGATAGAACTCCTTCAAAATTTCATTACCGGAGAACTGTCATTTTTTGACTGGTCAGGTGGTTTCTGGAAGACTCTTCCCTAGGAGACTCTGTATACAATGTCTTTGACTGGACTCTTAAGCTTGACCTGTGGAAAGTAAGTCTTTTCTCAGGGAGCATCTGTCAAAAACAATTAGCGGCCAGTGATCAACATCATAGCTGCCTGTGGCAGCAGGTAATAGTAGAGGCAAACAACAGGCCAAGCAAATACTTTCAGGGAAATCTGGGGAATAAGATGTCCATAAGTACTTTGAAAGGCTCTACCACATATCTGGGAGTTCAGGAGGCCTCATGCATGTGCAATACTAGTGCATGCCCAGGGTGTGTGTATGCTAAGACCAGACCTGAAAGACCTTAAGCTCTCACCTCAGACTGACCTTTAGGTTATAAACAAACAAGAAATGCAGGTTAAGGCAGAGTTGTCAGGCTTGAGGTAGACCCAAATATTAGTCATGTTCTAGTTCTTGGCTGCAGAGAAGGCAATGGCACCCCACTCCAGTACTCTTGCCTGGAAAATCCCATGGACAGAGGAGCCTGGTAGGCTGCAGTCCATGGGGTCTCGAAGAGTCGGACATGACTGAGCGACTTCACTTTCACTTTTATGCACTGGAGAAGGAAATGGCAACCCACTCCAGTGTTCTTGCCTGGAGAATCCCAGGGATGGGGTCGCACAGAGTTGGACACGACTGAAGTGACTTAGCAGCAGCAGTTCTTGGCTGAGTGATGATTCACTTAAGTTTGAGGTATTATGCTTTGTAACTTACATATATTCTTTTGTATCAAATACATTTTTAAAAGGAGATAGAAAACATCTTTACATTAAAGCAATCTTAAAGAAATTCATACCTTCAACTATGCTGGACTTAGCAAGAAATCCTGAGGATGCTTTTAGAGCTCCATTGAATACCACAAAGCTTGCACCTGTCACTGATTAAAAAAAAAACAATAATAATGTTTTAAACTGCTCTTTTTATGGTATATGATATTTGTTAAATGCATGGTCAGAGAAGTTCTGCCATGCCACACAGTGCAGCCAAGGGTAAAAAAAGTAGAAGAAAGGTGTGTGTATGGAGGGGTACTGCTTAAATATACACACAAGCAAGAAGTCTCTGAAAGGATATACCAAAAATTGATAATGTTGGTTTGGTTGTCTGTAGGGAGTAGAAAAAGGTAGTCTGGGGGTCTAGGGAGGAAAGGAGATTTTGCAGTGTAAATACTTATACCCTGTGAATTTTTTACTACTTAAGTATTTATCAAATAAATGTTAAATTCTTAAATTTTAATTTAAAATTAATTTTAATGAAAAAGATGTCAATGGTATGTTAAAAAAGGCACAATATAAAGTATCTAGTATAAAATCATCTAATTAACATATATATCAATATAAGAAGGAAATATCTTAAAATGTCAACAAAGGCTGTATCTCACACTTTTTTTTTTTTACTACTCCTTGAAACATGTTTTCCAAGCTTACTACAAATAAGCATACATACTTTTATAATCAGAGGAAAAAATTTTATTAGCAGCCAGAATGTATATTTTAAATGTGTTATTTTATAATAATGTATAAATTTTATGGAATACTTACTTCTACTTAACTCAATTTGTTAGGATCTGTATCGCTAGGATTTGGTAATCGCAGCAGTCATTGAGACCATTCAGCCGAGTAATGTAATCTTTATCATTTTTACATTCCTGGATACTTGAGAGTTTTATAAATCATTCTTACACTTATCTACCCTGTGCTTCCTGCTAATAGGAGTTGCAGCACAGCTTGCAAAACACTCTGGCAAAAACACTCCAGAGAACCCACTATATGAGACACACTAAACCTGAAGACATTAAAATAAATACTGTACTCTAAGTCTTTAAACCTAATGTTGCCCAAGATAAAACACACACACACACACACAAATTAGAAGCAATTTTTTCTATTTGTATAGCTAAATATTTAAAGTATACTGTTTCATCATCTTCAATTCATCAAATAAGTAAAACATCTATATATATATTTCCTCTTTGAAAGGAATTCTATTTTTTGAGATGGTTTTATGAATCAACACTAGGAACCAATACTCACCTTTTCTAGGATGGCCAGTAGCACTGTTGGCCTGTGTCTGATAAACTCCATCATTCTGTATACAGACTAGATGAGAATCTGCTTCTGTACTAAAACTAGCTCCAATGCTAATGACATGCTCATTAGAAGAATTTATTACTTTCATTACCTAGGGAAAAAATACTCATTTAGAAACATTTTTAACATTTTATGCCTTTATTAGTTGCAATAATTCAAAGAGTCATATTTCTGACCACCTTTATCAAGCTTTTAGTCTGGACAACTCCCTGAGAATGAGTCAGAAACAAATGTTTTAAGATAAAATTACCTCAATTAAAAAACAGACAAAAACAGTAAGAAAAAGAAAAAATAGAATTAAACATATCCTCTATTAGGAAACAAATCTTAAATTTCAACAATAACTTTTTCCTGTCATTATATATTAGTCCAATTCAGAACAAGAAATTTAACATACTTCTAAAGAAATCTAATGTTTAATATTATTTTCAAAACTTGAATCAAGTAATTATACTTACATCATTGTATTTTTTCCGAGGTATTTTTATGCAGCTCTTCCCCATTTCCATATGAATCAACAGCTGATCTATATTATGCAAGGTATACTGGTAATTTCGAAGGTCCTACATAAAACAATGGTATTTCATAAAACTCATACTACTATTCATGAACATTTACCCATTCATTAAATCCTTTTTCTAAAGAGTTATCTGTCATTTTTAAACCTGTCATACATAACTATCAAAATGCCATCCAGAAAGCAATGCCAACTTCACAAACAAACTAATCCTTCCAGCTACTTAATAATAATATAAAAAATATTCTCAGGAAGAACTCTAGTATTTGAGGGTGATCTATTCTTTTCTTTGGGGCTTCCCTGGTGGCTCAGATGGTAAAGAATCTTCAATGTGGGAGACCTGGGTTCAATCCCTGGGTTGGGAAGACCCCATGGAGAAGGAACTGGATACCCAGTTCCAGTATTCTTGCCTGGAGAATTCCACGGACAGAGGAGCCTGGCGGGCTATAGTCCATGGGGTCACAGAGTCAGCCACCACTGGATGACTAACACTTTCACTCCTCTTTCCAGTTATACATCTTCCAAAATAGGTCTTCTAACTGAACATTTATAAATAAAAGCAAGTCCACTGAAATACTTTTCTATAATAAAAGGTAAACACAAACTTAGAGAAACTGGAGTACAAGGGGACCAGAAATCATCTAATCCAACAGCTCCCAGTAAAAATGAGATGACTTAGGCCAGCTTGCTCAACAAACTGACTCACTGTACTCTTACTACAACTTCAACAACTGTGTAAATCTCACATTACCTAAATGTGTAAGCACTGCAGCTGAATAAATCATAGGCAATTTAAATCAGGTATACATAAATGAAGAAATGTGTTCTAAAAGCACTTCATCAAAAAAGCTCATTTATATTAAATAAATTAGGATTTATTATAAATGAACTTTCATTATAACAAATATGCCAAATTAAAATAGAAAAATAAATAAAATTTGCTAAATTAATTTTTAATAAAACAGTTGAATTACTCACAACAAGTAAGTTCATAATAGTGTGTCCTATTTCTCCAAAAAGAGGTTTTCGGCCTCTGATACTTGTTAAAGGAGCAGGATATGCTATATATAAGAATAGAAAACTGGTTACCATCAACAAAAACCAAAAGAAGCCTTGAATTTATTACTGCTAATTCTCATTTTTCAAAATTTATGAATAAATACCACTTATTCTGATCTTTGGGAAGAGTAAGAGATGACGCTAACCCATATTGTGTATGTACTAGATGCTACACTGAACTGGGACCTCTATATATGGTGTCCTATTTAAATTGCATTAACAACCCAATTAGCCAAGTATATCTACACTTACTTTACAAATGGGAAGTAGAGACAGAGATTAATAACCCTGCTTGTGGTTTCTGAGCTAATAACTATTACAAGAGATATGTAACCAGGATTGCCCAAAGCAATCCAAAGCACTTAATCTTTTCATCATACATGTTGTTTACAAACATCATAATGTCTGGAAAATTACCATAACTGGCTGGACCTCTATAAAGTTCTCATAATTTAAAAAGAAACATTCTGAAAATTTAAAACAAAGTATGAAGAATTCAAGATTTTTAAGGCATTTGTAATTAATGTTCAGTTGTCTTAATTAAGGATGATATAGTTCTTGGATCACCATGATAAAAGGAACAGGTAGGAAGACAGTGCAAAAAAGTGACGTGGAATCTGTCACCTAACTACCTTTCTCTTTCTCTAGGACACTATAAACACTGCACACCAAAAAAGAAAAGTACCTTGGTGGCAATGCAGCAGGACTTCTGAAGAAAAGGAAAGTAAGAACAGGAAGATAAGACTATTTCTACGACGGTAAAAATCAGACATGTTAAACTGAGAATTTCAGTCCTCAGCTTAGGTTAAATAAACCTCTTTAATACCTATTATATAAATGTACTTTCTTAAGACTCTAAGAAAACACACCTGACATTATCTACTTAAAAAAAATTAAGTAAGGGCAACTCACATCTTTGCTATTACAAACATTTTTTTAGTTTTAAAAAATGACAACTAAGCTATTTGGATGACAGAGAATACAGAAAAAATGTAAGTTAGTGGTAAAACACATTAGAATGGTAAACAATATAATTAAGGTAAAGGCCGATTTTTTTTACTTCATTGTATATGAATAAGGGAGCATCCTTTGCAACTTGATAGAGGTAATTTTACCTAAAACATTAATCTTCAAAAGGTTATGACTTAGAAGGACATTCTGTTAGAGTTAAAAAGGGACTTCATAAATCATCTAACTCAACATTTAATGATATTCCAAATAGTCTCAACATAAAAGTGCAGGAAATTGCTATTTGAAAATTACTAATTTCAGACAGTTTTCAGTCTTTAACCTTGGGACTCTAACTTTTGCCATGAACTTTTCCATAGGTATATTATCTCTAAAACAAAATAATCACACACATACACACCCCCCCCACAATTTCAAGTTCTAGTCTAAAGTGGCATGAACACCAGTAACATCAAAATGCTGGTCTATCTAAAATCCAGCAAAACACAAAGAACTCGGAAAACAGAGACTAATTAACTTCTGTTGTATAAGTGGTAATTTTTCTCATTACCACTAAACAGCTGTCATAGTTTTCCAGCTCCAACCTGATATTTTGAGAAGTCTCTCAAAATACTACTCTGTGATTTTCCTATTTTCAGTATGAGAAAAACAGATTTAGTATATAGAAGTGATACTGGCAAATATACTGGCCAAATTTACAGATTATTATGTTCCATAATGATTTAAGATTAGCCAGTATTTTGACCTAACTTTCCATAAAAATAACATACAAATATTAGTATCAGAGACAGAACATGAGGCTGAATGGATGAAACACATGGCTCAAAATGCTATCTCTTAAGCTCTCTGGTTCACAGTACAAAACCTGAGATGAAAGTTAATTTTTTACTTCTTAAAACACAATTTAATAGTATCACGTATTTAAATCTTAAATGGTAAGGACGACCCGTTCAAATTAGAGATTAATAAATTTGCCAAGTAGATTTAAATGTATGTCTCTTTCATGGAATTTGTCAATTCTGAAATAGAAATGGTCACTTTTATAACTTTTCTACATTTAATTTTCCTCCAAGAAAATATCCATTAAATTAGAAGCAAATGCCTACATTTTCCTTGTATGTGATATACTTTACATGCAATAAATAAATTATTCTTTTTTGTAAGGGACAAAGAAAGGTCTGAATTTAAAAAAGTTTAACACAGAAATTATTTTAGCTTAGAGATAACCTTAGAAATATACATAAGCCTGGACTATTACTTCACAACCATTTATGTCTGGCATTAGAGTATGTATAAATTGGGGTAGGGCACAATGATTTACCTTCTTAATATATAGGCAACATAACAAAATGAACTCCTTACAGGAAATACTTTTAAGAAAACTTTTCAAGGTTTTCTGTGTTTTGTCTTGAAGTTCAAAAAATTTTTAAGGTAAGTTAATAATATAATAATTATGAACATCTAGAAACTCATAACATATCAAGGTTGTCTGGACTAATCTTGTACCAGAGGAGGGCTGTTTTAGAATTTTAAAAGTACATCAAAACAAAAGTAGTCAAAAAAAAAACAAAAACAAAGTAGCCCCCTTAATACATTAAAAATTCATTTTAATGATATGTGAAATTCTTATTTACAGTCAGTATATGAACCTATATAACTTATTATTCTAAAACTTACCTTTATATTCTGCACCCAATCTCAACATTAAACGCATAGGAAAAACCTTTGCCCAGGGAATCTCTAGCTTCTGGATAAGAATTCCACAAAGAAAAGGATTACTTGGTAATAGGAGATCATCAAGTTTCTGAAAAGTAGGTGTAATAAATAAAAATCCTCCATGATCCTTGCTGCTGAGAAAACTCTCAGTAAAGGTAATACTGTCCAAGTTTTCTATATATTTTCCTAGAAATAAAATCATTAATAAAAAGATTTTGAATTGTTTTGAAGTGGCATTCTGAGTCTGAATGTCCCAATATAAACTTTCTTAAAGAAAAGCAATATATTTTCCTTACTTTCACTCTTGAAGAAGCATTAAATACCCTGTGTGCACAAAGTGCAGTTATTTCTGAGGATTGGGAATTGTGAACAAAAATGTGAGAATGTTTCAACCACAGGTGTTTTCAAATTTTTCTCTTTACTTCATGGTCAACTGAAAAGCCTTTCCATGGTTTTAGCTACCTCTGGTCAACTGTGGTCCAAAAACATTAAATGGAAAATTAAAAAATCTCTTGCTACCCTGCTCCGCCCCACTGGGATGTGAAGCAGACCGTGGTCATTTGCCCAGCATGTTCCCACTGTGTATGCTACAGGCCGTCAGTCGCTCAGCAGCAGCCTCGGCATGAGAGCAGCTGTTACAGTTACTATGCTTGTGTTCAGGTAACCCTTGTTTTTCTTAATTTTGGCCCCAAGGCATAAGAGAAGCGATGTTGGCAATTCGGATGTTCTCTTACTCGGCCTAATTTATAAATTAAGCTTCATCATAGGTATGTATGAAAAAATAGTATGTGTGTGGTGTGTCTGTGGCTTTTCCAGTAGCTCAGCTGGTAAAGAATCCGCCTGCAATGCAGGAGACCCCAGTTCGATTTCTGGGTCAGGAAGCCCTCCTGTGAAGGGATAGGCTACCCACTCCAGTATTCTTGGACGTCCCTGGTGGCGCAGAGAGTAAAAAATCCGCCTGCAATACAGGAGAGCTGAGTTCGATCCCTGGGTTGGGAAGATTCTCTGGAGGAGGGCATCGCAACCCACTCCAGTACTCCTGCTTGGACAATCTCCATGGACAGAGGAGCCTGGTAGGCTGCAGTCCATGGGGTCATAAAGAGTCGGACACGACTAAGCACAGCATATATATATATATATATATATGCTATATATATATACACATATATGCTATTTTTCATATAGTATATATATATACTACAGAAAAACAGTACAATAGGGTTCGGTACCATTTCCAGTTTTAGGCAGCCACTGAGGTCTTGGAACTTATCCCCTGCAGATAAAGGGGGACTACTGTGTAGACACATAAAAAGATCAAGAAGGTAAACATATTTTACCTTTTAAAATAGAAAAGAAAACAATAAAGACACAAATCACATAAAATGTTAGATTTAAGGAGACTGAAAATGATGACTAAGCTCTTTTAAATAATCAGTAATCTCTTCATAAAATAAACCTTTAGTACAGTTAGCACTGCTAAAAGCAAAAATGCCTCTCATTTACCCATCCCCTGGTCTGAACAGTTAAAAATAAAATACTGTACCTTTCAGAGCATCCTTATAAATGGTGATAAACAATCTGAAGATGTCCTTAGGAATAGTATCTTCATTTGGCAAACATAACAACAGAATAATAATTTCTGCCTGTCCCAAGCCATGCAATCCATTGGTTGAGAAGTACCAGTATTTGTCTGAGGAATCTTAAGTGACAAAAGCAAACAACTATAAATGTCAACTTCTAATTGTCCTATGCACGAAGCACAACTTTTCAAACTCCTTATTTCCCCAATGTTCTCACAAAAACTTTAAACTGAATTGTGTAAGATTACTTGTGTAACTGTGTAAGATTACTTCAATAGTTTTGGCCTCAGGTCAAATAACAGGGAGGGAATACAGACCCTTACTGAGCACGGCCCCGCCCAAAAGAACAAGATCCAGTTTCCCCCTCAGTCAGTCTCTCCCAGCAGGTAGCTGGCATAAGCCTCTTATCCTTCTCCACCAGAGGCAGACAGAATGAAGACCACAATCAGAGAAAATTAACCAATCTGATCACATGGACAACAGCCTTGTCTAACTCAAGGAAACTATGAGCTATGCCCTGTAGGGCCGCCCAAGACAGACAGGTCATGGTGGTGAGTTCTGACCAAATGTGGTCCACTGGAACTCCCCCACTCAGTAGGTGCCCAATATGCTACTGGAGATCAGAGAAGAAATAACTCCAAAAAGAAAGAAGAGACAGAGCCAAAGCAAAAGCAACATCCAGTTGTAGATGTGACTGGTGATAGAAGTAAAGTCCGATGCTTTAAAGAGCAATATTGCAAGGAACCTGGAATGTTAGGTCGATGAATCAAGGCAAATTGGAAGTGGTCAAACAGGAGATGGCAAGAGTGAACACTGATATTTTAGTAATCAGTGAACTGAAATGGACTGGAACGGGTGAATTTAACTCAGATGACCATTATATCTACTACTGTGGGTAAGAATCCCTTAGAAGAAATGGAGTGGCCATCATAGTCACCAAAAGAGTCCAAAATGCAGTACTCGGATGCAGTCTCAACAATGACAGAGTGATCTCTGTTTGTTTCCAAGGCAAACCATTCAATATCACAGTAACCCAAGTCTATGCCTGGACCAGTAATGCTAAACAAGCTGAAGTTGAACAGTTTTATAAAAACCTACAAGACCTTCTAGAACTAACACCCACAAAAGATATCCTTTTCATTATAAGGTACTGGAATGCAAAAGTAGATGCAAGAAATACCTGGAGTAATAGGCAACTTTGGCCATGGAGTACAGAATGAAGCAGGGCAAAGATTAATAGAGTTTTGCCAAGAGAATGCACTGGTCATAGCAAACACCCTCTTCCAACAACACAAGAGAAGACTCTACACATGGACATCATCAGATGATCAATACCTAAATCGGATTGATTATATTCTTTGCAGCCAAAGATGGAGAAGCTCTATACAGTCAGCAAAAACAAGACGAGGAGCTGACTGTGGCTCAGATCATGAACTCCTTATTGCCAAATTCATACTTAAACTGAAGAAAGTAGAGAAAACCACTAGACCATTCAGGTACGACCTGAATCAAATCCCTTATGATTATACAGTGGAAGTGACAAATATTCAAGGGATTAGATCTGATAGACAGAGTGCCTGAAGAACTATGGACAGAGGTTCATGACATTGTACAGGAGGCAGTGATCAAGACCATTCCCAAGAAAAAGAAATGCAAAAAGGCAAAATGGTTGTCTGAGGAGGCCTTACAAATACCTGAGAAAAGAAGAGAAGCAAAACACAAAGGAGAAAAGGAAAGATACACCCATCTGAATCAGAGTTCCAAAGAACAGCAAGGAGAGATAAGAAAGCCTTCCTCCGTGAGCAATGCAAAGAAATAGAGGAAAACAATAGAATGGGAAAGACTAGAGATCTCTTCAAGAAAATTAGAGATACCAAGGGAACATTTCATGGAAAGATGGGTTCAATAAAGGACAGAAGTGGTATGGACCTAACAGAAGCAGAAGATATAAAGAAGAGGTGGCAAGAATACACAGAAGAACTATAGAAAGAAGATCTTCATGACCCAGATAATCACAATGGTGTGATCACTCACCTAGAGCCAGATATCCTGGAATGCGGAGTCAGGTGGGCCTTAGGAAGCATCACTACAAACAAAGCTAGTGGAGATGATGGAATTCCAGTTGAACTACTTCAAATCCTGAAAGATGATGCTGTGAAAGTACTGCACTCAATATACCAACAAATTTGGAAAACTCAGCAGTGGTCACAGGACTGGAAAAGGTCAGTTTTCATTCTAATTCCAAAGAAAGGCAATGCCAAAGAATGCTTAAACTACCACACAATTGCACTCATCTCACACACTAGCAAAGTAATGCTCAAAATTCTCCAAGCCAAGCTTCAACAGTACATGAACCGTAAACTTCCAGATGTTCAAGCTGTGTTTAGAAAAGGCAGAGGAACCAGAGATTGAATTGCCAACACCCGCTGGATCATTGAAAAAGCAAGAGAGTTCCAGAAAAACATCTGCTTTATTGACTATGCCAAAGCCTTTGACTGTGTGGATTACAACAAACTGTGGAAAATTCTGAAAGAGATGGAAATACCAGACCACCTGACCTGCCTCCTGGGAAATCTGTATGCAGGTCAAGAAGCAACAGCTAGAAATGGACACGGAACAACAGACTGGTTCCAAATCGAGAAAGGAGTATGTCAAGGCTGTATACTGTCACCCTGCTTATTTAACTTATCTGCAGAGTACATTATGCAAAATGCTGGACTGGATGAAGCACAAGCTGGCATCAAGATAGTCAGGAGAAATATCAATAACCTCAGATACGCAGATGACCACCACCCTTATGGCAGAAAGTGAAGTAGAACTAAAGAGCCTCTTGATGAAAGTGAAAGAGGAGAGTGGAACAGTTGGCTTAAAACTCAACATTCAGAAAACTAAGATCATGGCATCTCATCCCATCACTTCATGGCAAACAGATGGGAAAACAATAGAAACTGTGACAGACTTTATTTTGGAGGGGCTCCAAAATCACTGCAGATGGTGACTGCAGCCATGAAATTAAAAGACGTTTGCTCCTTGGAAGAAATATTATGACCAACCTAGACAGCATATTAAAAAGCAGAGACGTAGAGAGAACGTGAGTCGAGGAGCGGTTTGGCTGAGAGGTTAGGGGTTCCGTCTCTCCTACTACTCCCTGAGGCCGGCGAGCGTGAGACCCAGCGGCCCTCTCCCGCTGCCCGCAGGCTTTAGTCCCAGCCATGGCTGAGCTAATCCAGAAGAAGCTGCAGGGAGAAGTGGAGAAATATCAACAGCTGCAGAAGGACTTGAGTAAATCCATGTCAGGGAGGCAGAAACTAGAGGCACAACTAACAGAGAATAATATCGTGAAGGAGGAACTGGCCCTGCTGGATGGGTCCAACGTCGTGTTTAAACTTCTGGGGCCGGTGCTGGTCAAACAGGAGCTGGGGGAAGCTCGGGCCACAGTGGGGAAAAGGCTGGACTACATCACAGCTGAGATTAAGCGATATGAATCCCAGCTCCGGGACCTAGAGCGGCAGTCAGAACAGCAGAGGGAGACCCTTGCTCAGCTGCAGCAGGAGTTTCAGCGGGCGCAGGCGGCAAAGGCAGGGGCTCCTGGGAAGGCCTGACCCTGTCCTGGGGGGTGGGAGAGGGGAAGGAATGAGGCAGCTCTAGGGTCTATACTGTAGTTAATAAAATGTGAAAATATAAAATAAAAAAAAAAAAAAGCAGAGACGTTACTTTGCCGACAAAGGTCCGTCTAGTCAAAGCTATGGTATTTCCAGTAGTCAAGTATGGATGTGAGAGCTGAGGTATAAAGAAAGTTAAGCACTGAAGAACTGATTCTTTTGAACTGTGGTTTGGAGAAGACTCTTGAGAGTCCGTCGGACAGCAAGGAGATCCAACTAGTCCATTCTAAAGGAAATCAGTCCTGAATATTCATTGGAAGGACTGATGCTGAAGCTGATACTCCAATACTTTGGCCACCTGATGCGAAGAACTGACTCTTTTGAAAAGACCCTGATGCTGGGAAAGACTGATGGTGGGAAGAGAAGGGGATGACAGAGGATGAGATGGTTGGATGGCATCACCAACTCAACGGACATGAGTTTGAGTAGGCTCTGGGAGTTGGTAAGGGACAGGGAGGCCTGGTGTACTGCAATCTATGAGGTCGCAAAGGGTCGGGCACAACCGAGTGACTGAACTAAGTAAAAATCTAAACTATTACTTCAAATCTCATTGCATGTAAAACTGCAAAATTTATTTATATTAATATCTGACTAAAAATATCCAATACTGCTTATTTTTTTACAGTTGTGAATCAAAATTCAACCTGATAATGAAATTAATTATTCAGAAATCCTGCTTACCAATTAGGCAAAGAAAAATAAATCATTACTTACAAAATGCTAACTTGACATTCACAAGTAGATTAGCATTTAAGACAAATGTAACAGGACAAGAACCTTCGCCTTCAAGAAGCAAAATGATTTGTTCATGAGATGGGTGTTCTTCTACTACAGGCACTAAAACAGGAAGATGACATATTAATTAGAATAAACATGGCTCCTGTTAAACATGCCTATCATAAAAAAGCCACATTTATAAATCTGCCAATGACTTGATCTCAGTTAAAAAGCAAAAACACATGTCATGAAATCAATCAACAACCAGACAACTGTTACATACGACTAATTTTTACTTTTCAACGTATGTGAATATATGAATATTAGAATACACATAAATTCTGATCAATTATATTACATATAGTCTATGCACAAATATGTTGACTAAACAGCATACTGACACAATTTCAGCACCTTTAAACTTTTAAGACAGTTTTCTAAAGTCAATTCCAATCTGCCAGCCACTCCAATTATATATTCTGAAATTTGCAACTGTAAAAGTAGTCTAGACCCAAATTGTATGTACTGCTTGCTGTGATATGCCTTAGGTCAGTGACAAGTGGCTAAGAAAGAACTTGACAATCAACAGGAAAATATACCAATGGCATGCAAAGAACAGGGCTTACAGTATTTTTGCCACTGTCACTAGGATCATGAAATAGCTCCTACCTACAGAACAGAGATCCTGACTTCATTCTCCTACAGTATCAGGCACAGAACATACTCATTTCATGTGGGATGCAGCATAATGCCTGGAGTTACATGGATGTATTCTTAGGGAACTATTCCAAGGTGGGAGATAGCCACAGAATCTCCAGCTTAAAAAGGTCCTTAGAGACCACCTATATTATCTTCTTTTACAAAGGAAGCTGAGGCCCAAAAGATTAAATTATGCTTCAAGTCATAGTTATATTATGTAGCAGATGAGGAACTATAATTTCTATTTCTGTCATCCAATCCAATACTCTTTTCTTTAGGCACTATGCATCTTTAAAAAAAAATGATATGGAGTCAAAACTAATACAGGACTTAAAGTCTATGAATTTTTCTGCTGTACTGGACTTTAAATTAGGGACCCAGATAAGTGAATCACATTCAAATAAACTCAAGAGGTCAGATCTTTTTAGAATTGTATTTATACAGTAAGACTTTTTGTAAACTAGTGTTCCAAGCAATCATACATATTTCAACCACAGTAAGTTTAAAAAAATACATTTCATATATCAGAGACAAAACTCATCAATATATTCTTCTTTTAAAAAACAATAACAAAACTCCTTTTAAAATTTAAATAAATGCTATCCTACCTGATCCCTTTTCTCCAGATGTAACCAGAAGGGGGGGCAAGCTGTCCTCATCATCAGGTAGAAGACTAATCTTATTGCAAACATTATCATCAATACCACACAATAACCTATAATCTGAAGCACTAGCAACAGGTAAACTGCTGTTAACCAAGACATCAGTAGGACCTGATGGTTCCTCGGTTTCTGCAAAAACATCATCGTCTAGTGTAAAAGCAGCAGATGCAGGCAACCCCTCAGTTCCTGTGTTTGCAGGCAGTTTTTCCACAGGTGGAACCTGAGAAGTAGGACTTCGAATTATCTCATTTCTTGTATCTCCTGTGTCACTGTTTGGTTCTTCCACTGGAATAGAATGGGCATGGTCCACTGTGTCTACCATCTGTGAAATACAGAGGACAAAGCCCAAATCAGTTCATGGTCTCTGCTCAAATGTGAAATATTGATTTCTACAGTCAAAGATATCTTTTTAAAAAGAATAAATAAAATCAAAATCGGCTCAAAAATTCTTTAGAAGCCAAATTTCCCAAGAAACAGTACCATCTTGCTTCTAAATTCAAGTACACACAGGTTTATTAGCTTTACTATATGCTCAGATAAGTATGACTTTAATTTCACAGACTGGAAAAAGGAGGCAAGGAGAACTTCAGGATCCTATTCCATACCACAAAGTGAGCATGTTTATTAGTTCAACCCAAGGCACTCCGCCTCCTAATAATAGACAAAAATGCCTGGCTGGGAGGTGGCAAGGGAGAGGAAAAGGGGAGAAGGCGGAGAGGGGAGTGGTTAGGAAGCAAAATGGTCGATATATTCCACAACAGTAGCGATCTGGAATAAACTATACATTAAATCTGCTTCAATTAAGTGTCACCCCCCCCCCACCTGCTTTTTTAGACTGGCCAAACCTGAGTCAATAGAGAACTGCTTATGAACTCAAGTAATACTAGCCTCTGTAAAAATTCCATTTTGTTAAAATATTGATTGAGGGTAGGTGCTAGATAAGGAACATACTTTTGGTAATTACTTTTGGTAATTATGGCTCCTTGTAGAACCTAGGTGACGAATTCTTACTGACAAACAACATAAGTTTACATAGTATGGGAACTTGAAAAGAGGATACATGTGCATCTTGTCTAATATGTGTACCCTGGATAAACCAGGTACTGGCTCAGAGGAGATGCTCAATAAATCTCTGTTTAATGAATAAATAAGATTTCTACTTCACATGTTAATACTTGCTTTTGTAAGTATTTTACTATTTTACAATTAAGAGTTCTTAGTAGGTTGGGATTCTATATTATGTCTTCTATTTAACACCTAATACATCTCTATAAATATAAACATATATACTACCATCAGATACTTCATTGAATGTTTGAAAATCATTAAACAAATTAGTCTAAATTGCCTTACTAAATCTCAGTTCTATTTCCCCATACTAGTGGTTCTCAAAATGTGGTCCAGGGATCTCAACACCCTTTCAGGAAGTCAGTGAAGTCCCAGGATTTTCTTCATTTAATTTAACTGAAACAACATATCACAACAGACTGAATTTAGAAGTAGATGTAAGAATCTATCTTCTATTAAGCCACATGTTAAAGAAATTCACACAAAATATAAAACAATGTTATTCCTCTCAATAAACTTTTATTTTGAAAACTTCATAAAAATATTATTTCTATTAATGAGTTTATTTTTAATTTATTTGTTTAAAATTTTTGTCAGTTTTAATTCAGTAATTATCAATAAACATAACCCACATAACCTACAGTTCTTTTGAGTTCTCAATAATTTTTAAGAGCATAAAGGGGCCCTGAGATTAAAAAAAAAATTTAAGAATCATTGCCTTAAACTGGCATTAAAAAAATAAAAATTAAAATTTTTTCACTACATCATATGTTTCTCATTTAATGAAGCTCAAAGAATTTTTTAAAAAGTACTCTAGTAATCGGGGGCTTCTCTGGTGGCTCAGTGGTAAAATATCCGCCTACCAATGCAGGAGATGCAGGTTCAATCCCTGTGTCAGGAACATCCCCTGGAGAAGGAAATGGCAACCCACTCCAGTATTCTTGCCTGGGAAATTCCACGGACTGAGGAGTTTGGCAGGCTATAGTCTGTGGGGTCGTCAAAGAGTCAGATATGACTTAGCAACTAAACAACGACTCTAATAATCATACAAGGAATTACCTATGAAATAAAATTTTACTAAATTAGCAAGTCAATCTTTAGATTCCTTACCAACGGCATATCGGGTAAGAGAGGACTAAAGTCTTCAGAACATCTTTTACTTCCAGATGATAATTTTGTTGTATCTGCAACTTCACCATTGGGCAATATACCATCTGCAAACCATACTCTCTTCTGTTCTTTGGAGCATAATCCTAGAATTAGTTTAAAAAAGTAATGCATTTCAATTTGATATTGCAATGATTTAATATTAAATAGGTCAGGAAAAGTTTTCAAAAGCTTTTTCTAACTATTGGCAAGCCCTGCATTTCAGGGTTTTAAGGCCTACAGAAATGGCTTTTTGTGATTCATCTACCTGGAATAGTTTTTTTCCTAATTCCTACAAAGGCAGGGCTGGCCCTAGGAATCCCTTAGTCAAAAAAAGTATAGACAGGAGAGGTTATACCTTAAAGACATCGAATGCAGATTTAAAGCCTATATTATTAAGGCTAACTTTGTGAGTACGGAGACCAAATAGAGTTTAGGGACTAAAGCACAGGGAGGGAAAAAGGAGTAGACCAGAGCGTGGAAGGTAAGCAAAGGAAAAAAGTATGAGAACAGAAGAAAGAAGCATAAAAAGACTAAAAAAAGAAATGGGATCACTTGGGCATCTGAGCTCAATTTCTCCTTCTAACTTAACAGAAGCACGACATGTTTTGTTCTTATAATGTTGGATATTAACATTTTTTAATATAATTAATTTACATTTCTTAATAGTAATTTTTTCCCCTCAAATTTGGAGGAAATAACTAGATTTCAGCATAAATATCTGTTCTCTTTTGTTAAAAAGCATCTATGGAGGAAGGTTATGAAAATTCCTACCAGATTTTAGAACATAACATCAAAAGGACCAACTTTCCATATCAAAATACAAATAACACTGAAAAAATTGGATTCATATATAATTTCTGCAACATGGGTGGATGTATTTAAAAAGGAATCTTTCCTGGATTTGCAATGCTTCATAATTTAATAATTTTAAAGTCAATATAAGAAAATATATAAATATTTTAAAAAGCAGACTCATCATCTTTAGAGTTGTAATATATAACCATACATACTGAACCTCTTAAGTTACAATGATAAATAGAAAATAGATATTAAGTGAGAGATAAGTGAAACTCAAAACAGTTGACAGAAATGCTTGAATCTGTCTGACAATTAGTTATTTTCTAGCATGTTACAGACTAAGTTTATGTTGAAAAATATACACAGTACTGAATAGCACAGGGAACTACACTCAATATTTTATAATAACCTATAAGGGAAAAGAATCTGAAAAAAATATATATACGTATATAACTGAATCACTGCATCATATACCTGAAAAGAACACAACATTGTAAATCAACTATATTTCAATTTGAAAATTAAATAAAAGTCTATTCAGGTTTTACTCAAGATCCTAAACTATAATAGGTTGTAAAAACGAACAGAGACCAAAGGTTTTTAAATCTTTAAAAGTTTTTTAGAAGATATAAGAAAACATTTTTTATTGTGGTGAAATACACATTTAAAAACAGATTTTTAAGGAAAGGGAGATGTGCCAATTATTTACCTATCGTCTTTCAAATCCGAGCCCACCCTTGCATATGGTGCTCTTTGACACTCTCTGGACATCTGAAAAGCCAAGTCCCAGACCCCCTGCTAGTTGGTTCTGGTCAGGGTACTATTGACAGGCACTGGTTGAAGACTGAAAGGTAGGAAGAGAAGGAATTCTTTCTGTTTTTAGTTCCCGCCAGGATCTCTGCAGCAGCAGCACCACCAGATATACTTACATGTCCCGTGAGTTTCAGTATTCCTTACATCAGTCAATTAACCAAGCTGGGAACTCTCCTTCAGTCATCTTAACACCAATCCTATGAGGCTCATTAATGGCCCCAGCATTTGCCACCTGGTGTTCCTCTAGAAGCAACAGAACCAGTCGCATGTTGTGGTACCCTAATCCATGAACACCAAGTCTGAGAACCAAGCATCTCCTGGTATTCCTGTACTGAGTTCTAGTAACACCGACTCTCCCCTTTCATTCTCCCAACCCCAGGGATAGCGGCTGCTTCCTGCACTTACTAATCTCTGAGTCACTTGATCACTCACTCAGTTGTGTCTGACTCTTTGAGACCCCATGGACTGCAGCACACCAGGCCTCCCTGTCCCTCACCATCTCTACGAGCTTGCCCAAACTCATGTCCATTGAGTCGGTGATGTCATCCAACCATCTCATCCTCTGTCATCCCCTTTTCCTGCCGCCTTCAATCCCTCCTAGTATCAGGGTCTTTTCCAATGAGTTGGCTCTTTGCATCAGGTGGCCAAAGTATTGGAGTTTCAGCTTCAGCATCAGTCCTTCCAATGAACATTCAGGACTGACTTCCTTTAGGATGGACTGGTTGGATCTCCTTGCAGTCCAAGGGACTCTCAAGAGTCTTCTCTAACACCACAGTTCAAAAGCATCAGTTTTTCGGTGCTCAGCTTTCTTTATGGTCCAACTCTCACATCCATACATGACTACTGGAAAAACCATAGCTTTGACTAGACGGATCTTTGTCAGCAAAGTAATGTCTCTTCTTTTTAATACGTTGTCTAGGTTTGTCATAGCTTTTCTTCCACCCTTGAGCATCACGTGAGCATGCCCTTTTTGTTTTTCTACCCTTCTAACATACATACCCTTCATATCTTTCTAACCAGTTCCCTGTATTAAGTTCCTTCTGGTAGCTAGTCTAGGTTCTCTATTCTCACTAGATTCCCTTAATATTAGAAAACTTCTATTTTAATAATTATCTTTAATATTAGACAGCATTTTCTTCTAGTTACCTTCAACACTTGGTTGTTTCAGTGCTGAGATTGGTAAAGTTGTAGGTGAAGGTATACTCGATGTTTGAGTCTCCTGAAGAGGCGGGATGGTGGCACACTCATCAGAATGATTAGATTTAAGATTAGAACCAGTTGGACTCATCATCCTTTCAAATGCCTGAGCTACAAAGGGAAAAAAAATTCATCTCAGATGTTTTTAAACTTCAAAGTAAGTTATGATAAATACTCTTATTTTTCAAGTTGTAAGGAGAAAGAAATCAAATGGCGAAACAAGAAGTGGAACGTGGGAAAGATAATATTCTTACTTCCTTATTTTAGTTGGCAGTATTCTACTTCAGTATAAGCTACCAATTAGTTATTTGAATATAATTTTGGCTTATGTTTGGTATCTACTAGAGAAAATCATTGTTACTTAATATGACCATCTGTTTCTGCCCTTGTACCCTTACAGTCTATTTCCAGTATAGTTCCTAGTGATTCTTTAAAGACATAAATCATATCACATCATTCTTCTGTTTAAAATCCTTTAATGGCTTCCCTACTGAAATGAAAATTTAAGTTGTTACAGTGGCCCACAAGACCCTGTCTTAGTCTACATTTCTATTAATTCTGCCTCTGCTTTCCTAGTTAGCTGACATCATTTCTCACTAAAATCCTACCTACTCATCATGATACAGCCACTGAGGCCTCCTTGTTCAGCAGTGAAGCAAGCACTCTTCTAGGTTAGGGTCTGTGCTGTTACTGTTCCTTCTGCCTGGCATGTTCTTCCACATAGCTTTATTCTCTTATCTCCTTCAAGTCTCTGCTTAAATATCATCTTATCATAAACCCTTATTCTTACCACCTTTTAAAATAACCACCTCTTGCCCCTGAATCTGTTATCATCTATCCCTCTTACACTCTTTTATTTTGATTTAGAATATTATCACCATCTGATATTCTCTTTGCTATCCTATCCATCACTCCCCACATTCATAAGCTCTATGAGATCAAAAAGTTCCATAAAAACAGGAAATATGTTTTGTTTTCAGCTGGATCTCTAAAGCACAGAACAGTGACTGAACATTGCTGAATGATTTTGGATCCAAAGTATATGGAACAGCACTGGTAGCTCCCCCATAAGCATTTCTCCAAATTGATCTGCTACAGATGCTGTCACTGCTACAATAATCTTCTTCAAGCGCCACTCAATTAGCACTCTCATGCAATGACTTCCACTAATCAAATATAATATTCAGAGTTTCAAAGTAATTTCCAACTTACCCTAAGTTTATGTAATGGCACTCACATGCATGCTTCTTTAAAACTTATAAAGTCTTAGCACAACTTCCTCATATCCAGTCTATAATGAAACTTCTTCCTGGAATTTGTCTTAAAAAAAGTCCTTGAGACATTTTTCTCCTCTTATTAGTAACATTATTTTAAATGATCATGTCTAGTATTTTCAACCCTGATGCTGGTGTTAAAGTAACTTATTTATGTTTTCTTATGGTGTATAAATTAATGATAAACAGAGCCACAAATGAAATTACATGTTATATCAAAACAGAATAAATAAAACAGATACCTAAATAAACAAATCCATTCAAAATATTTTCTTTAATAAACCAATGCTTGATCTCAGTTTCCTAGTAGATTTCTTTAATGACTGTATCATCTCTCCTGGATCCTTAAAGTCAGAATATACTTTAATGTTCACCTAAAAATCTGACTTGTCAACTCAAAGAATGTTTCAAATCTTCATGGCTGCTTTATTTCTAACCATAGAGAGATAATTATGTTGGAGCTTGCTCTAAGATTTCTTAATTCTAGCAGATTGCTTGGCCAGCAGCACCAGCAGTAGTCTTAAAGGCTACTGAAATGGCATAAGCAAAAGACAAAACAACTATAAGTACTTAAACTCTTCACAAAGACTGGTGGTATTATGGAAATATTAAAAGATTTATACTCTATTATCTTCCAGAGCAGAGGTCAACAGCAGGGAGTAAAGCAGCTTACCTCAGGCTAACAGACTCACATCAGAGCTTTTTGAAGAATTGCTGAAAAAATTTATCTTCATTCAAAAGAGAAAAACAAATTATTATCAAGTATTTATTCTCCTGGCTAACAGGAAGCAGTACCTGAGCTAGTGCACAGGTCTGGTCTAAAAAGTCCCAAGTAATATTTGCTGGGAATTAAACTGTCAACAAACCTTTAAAAATGCCAAGAAGTACTCAAAAGAACAAACGTGTATTTGAAGAAAAAAACAAACATACACATATAGACACATATACAACTGTGAGAACTCAAGTAAGACCACCAAGATTTCTGCTGATAATAACAGTAAACTAGCTAAACATACAAACAAAATTATAAAACTGAGAAAGGAAAGAAATATGTAAAAGATGAACCTGTACAAATAATGTAACAATTCTATGAATTTATATAAAAATTATAAATATTACTACCTTATCTTTCATTCCCACTGTAGGTTGTAATTTTCTATAAGGTGGGAACTATTATCTTACCTTATGCTATTAATATATAAGACTGGATACTATTTACTGGTAGATATTCTGTAAACGTTTAGATTAAGATGATGAGGATGACAATGATGGTGACAAAAACAAATAGGCGGATGAAATGCAGCGTTTAGGGACTTGGTACCTGTTAAAAGTTAATGAACTGCCATTCCAGAAACTGAATGCTTCCTTTCCAGACTGGGAGTAATAATTGTGAGAGCGGAACAAAAAGAAGAGAAACCAAGCCTTGGGATGTCCCACCTAAGCCAGATAAGTCAACACTACGTCCTCGCCTTAAGAAAATAAAGAAGTTTATCTTTGTCACAATCTAGTTGTTTTTAAGATATATTCAATTACTGGAAGAAGATATGTCAGATTAATACTCACCTTTACTAATAGTCTCATAGCAGACTACACATACTCTTGCCTCCTTCTCTAGATATTGCAATTTACACTTCCTATTACAACAGACACCGCAAAATACCTGAAGAGAATAAAATATCGAAATAGATTTTGTTTCAAGCATGGTTATACCTATCGGAGGCAAACACCATTTTTCTGATCACATGACAATTTTTCTAATCACTGTAATCATAGGTAATTATTAAAATGATTTATTTTTATTGTTTTACTTAAATGAGGTTTCTACAACTTAAATTATATTACTGATGAGAATTCCTTTAAATCAATTACACTAATCAGAAGGGGAAAAAACTTTCTTAAGTAATAAGTTCACAATTTTAAAAGCTTTCTGTCATCCTTTACAAACCTTTATTTTTTTTAAAATTTTTGGTTGTGCTGCATTGCATGTGAGATCTTCAAATCCCAATCAGGGATCAAACCCACACTCCATGTAGTGAAAGTACAGTCTTAACCACTGGACTGTCAGGGAAGTCTCCTTCCTTTACAACTTTTAAAAGTAGAATGTTATTCAAAAGAGAAACAGACTCAGATTTCTAGAGAACAAACTAGTGGTTACCACTGAGGAAAGTGGGGAAGGGCAAGACAGGAGCAGAGGATTAAAAAGCACAAACTAACAAGTGCAAAATAAACTACAAGGATGTGTTGTACAGCACAGGGAATATAGCGAGGATTTTATAATAACTACAAATGGAGTATAATCTTTAAAAATTGGGAATCACTATGTTGTACACTTGAAACTTTCATAATATTATAAATCAACTACACTCAGTTAAAAAACAGAACAGAACAAAACCAAACCCACACATAGAGGGCTTCTGCTGGCCAATCAGGAGACACGGGTTCCATCCCTGATGCAGGAGGATCCCACGTGCTGCAGACCAGCTAAGCCCGTGTGCCACAGCTCTTAAGCCTGTGCTCGAGGGCCTCTGAGTCGCAGCTACTGAGCCAACGGGCTGCAGCTACTGAAGCTGGAGCACCCTGGAGCCCGTGAGCCGCAGCAAGGGAAGTCACTGCCGTGAGATGCCAGCACACTGCAACTCAAGAGCAGCCCTTACTTGCTGCAACTTAAGTGAAGTCGCTCAGTCGTGTCCGACTCTCTGCGACCCCGTGGACTGCAGCCCACCAGGCTCCTCCATCCATGGGATTCTCCAGGCAAGAGTACTGGAGTGGGTTGCCATTTTGGGGAAAAATGCAATGTTATTTCTATAGGCAAGTCTTAGAATTCACAGACAATTAAGACAGAACACAAATGAAGTCATCTGCAGTGTTCTGAACCTCGGGCAAGTCAATCTGCTTTTTTTCTCAGTGTTTACCTCAGGTATCAAGCATAACACTACCTGCAGAGTAGTCCTGAAATTAAGTATTCAAGGGTAAACTGGAATCTAACTGAATTCCGTACATCTGATGTATTAATGTCAGGGAGAAAATGACACACATTGTGAGATTTCACAAAAATTAGTGTTCCTCATTTCCTGGTATGTAATACCCATGACTGTGTGACATTTAGTCAAACCTCAAGCAATCTATAAAAATGGCAGTGCTTTATATATTTCCACATAAATGAAAAACAATGATTTTAAATTAACTGACTCTTTTAATCATCTATTAATCAGTTTTTCTGTCATATAAAATTTCATTTAAAATGCCTCAAAAGAATAAAAGACAAACATTTTTATAGCTTACTTTTCCGCATGCTCGGCAATGATGTCTCCGTTTCGTAAAAGTAAATTTGACTTGGCAGTTCATACAGTTTGGAGCTTCTGAATCAGGAACCCAAGTAGGTTGTTTCTGGCCCAAAACAAGGCCATCTTTGCAAGTGTTTGCAGGAAGAGATTCTTCATTTGCAGTTACAAAACTGGATCCACCTTCAAAATTACTTTCTATATCAATGTAATTAGAATTGAAGCTAACCTGAGGGTCAGTCACAGAATCTGTAGTATAGGTGGTTGGAACAGTGGTATTTGTTATCCTGGGTTTACTTTCAGGCATATTTGGAATATCCAGTTTATTTGGTTCCTTTGAACTCCTTGTTCTTGATGGAACACTAAACAATTGCTTAGGTCTGGCCCCTCCAACATGAACAGACTGACTGTTACTATCAGAGACTGATAATTCATTTGTAATCTCAGACTTACTGCTAGATAACCCTTGTTCAACTGGAACTGTACTTTTTTCGCCTAAAGAAAGGCTACCATTTTCAGCTGTATTTTGTTTATCAACTGTTTCACAAATCATATTAATACCAGGACTTTCCCCAGTAGCTCCTGCTTCAGCATCGAAATATATATTATCAATACTTCCATCATCCAGGCCTTTCATATCTATCTGATTCATTTGAGATTTTGCATCATTTATATTTTCTTCAAATGATTTTATGTTACTCGTCTGAAGATACTGTTCAGTGAGAAAGGCATCAAGTTCAGCATCACTAACTGGTGCGCCACTTTTCATGCCTTCATCAATGTTAAAGTAATCTAAGTCTTGTCCGTCAATATCACTGCTTGAAAAAGTGAGACCATGACAATGATCAGGAGATGCTGGGGCACTACCACCAGAAAGCTCTATCTGAGATCCTGCAGCTGTACAAGAGCTGCTGTTATCAGGGTAATCCACAGACTCAACCCTAATTACCATCTGGTTAGAATCTACCTTTCTATCTCCCATCTTTTCAGCTAATGGCTGATGAAGTATGTTTTCACATTTATCCTGTTTCAAAAGATCAGTCTCCTTCAAAGATTCCCCACCTGGAGTAACTTTCTTCTGTATTTCTTCATATACAGTCACTGCATCCTGTACATCATCTTTATTTTCATTCTGGGGTAAAAAATCACCATGACCTTTACTGTCAATTAAAGATCCACACAAAGACCCAGCTACTGGAAGACAGGACAGTGAGGAGTATGTATTTTCACTTGAAACATGTAAAGCTGAAGCAGAATCTTGGATTACATCTCTATTATCATTAAGATCTAAATTTCTGGAGTCTTCTTTTGCAGATTCTTTTATAAATATAGCAGTCCTATCTTCCTCAATGGAAAAGTCGGGTAACTCGGAGTTTTCATCTCTTAAATATGAACCATTTAAGCATAAGCCTCCATTTTTTGGAAGACTGCAAGACAAAGCACTTGTGCCTCCTTCTTTTAAACATTCTGTGGCAGCTTTAACTGGCACCTCTTCCTCCTCTTCTACCAAACAGCCAACAGCTTTTACTAACTCACATAGCTGGTTCTTGTGTTGTGGGTGGTCTTTGGCATCAAACACTTTGGAACTTTGTTGAGTCAAAGCAGATGGCATGTTAAAATCAACAACTGGTTCTGACTGATTAGAGATCTTTTTATCCTCTACATTTTCTTTTTCATTGTAATTACATGAATCTGAAAGTACTGTATCCACTTTTACACCAAATTCTGTGGTTCCACTGATTCCTCTGCTTTGTAATTCAGAGCTGACATCATTCTGTTCCTCTCTGACAGTATTATTACCATGGTCTGTTGAAGACACACAGAAAGTTTCTGACACTGAAGATAAATCCAGTCCCACCAAGGAATCTGCACTAGACTTTGAATCATCTGGCAATAGTTTTTTAATATCTTCTTCACTATTAGTTACATGAACTAAATTACCCATGTCACTTATCAGATCACAAACAGGTTTACTACATCGTCCCATATATAGGGGCTGGATTTCATCTGAAGTGCCACTATCCACAGAAGAAAGGAGATCAAGCCCTGCTACATTTTTTTCATTCTGTATAGAAGTTAGTCCCTCAAGTATTTCTTCACTCAGGGCAATCTGATTTGTCTCATAACCTGTTTCTGATGAGACACAACAATTAATGCACTGTTGATCCTTTGGTAGCAATGAAGTTACTTGTGAGGCAGTCAACTCCGAAGAGACTGAATAGTGCTTAGAATCATACGCCTTTTGTGCATCTTGGAGATAATCTTGTTCATCTAATTAAAACAGGAATATAATGTTAGTCAGGAGACTCAAATCAAAATTATTACAAAGATGCTATGGTTTCTATAACTTCTAAGCTTGTTTTTTTAGACCAGAGATAGATTACTCTCTTACTGATAATAATTCCAGAATTATTTTTATTTAGATTTAAACTATTTGGGGTTTTTACCTTTAAATGTAGATGTCATAATATGATAGAAACGCTACTTAAAATAACTGTTGCACTATAAAAACCAGACTAAGGAGGAGCTGCAAAACGATCTAACTTCTCTGTGCTGCCCGCCAGGTTCCTTGTCTTCATCCTGAGATGGGGAAAATACGATCTTTCATAGTAATGAAATACAAATTTCATGAAGAACTCTCAAGTTGCTTTTAGCTGGTTCATATGCTGGTTTTAAAGGTCTTTCTTTTACCTAAATTTATATCTAGAAAGAAATGTCTAGTTTTCTTACTTCTATGTCTGGCTATTGGTTCTATTCAGTATAAGAATACACTAATTCATTATAATGATATGTGAATGATATGAGATATGTGAATGTTCTACAGAAGATAACCATGTGACCAAAATTGAAACCATATTTTGCTCAGAGTACTAGTTACCAACATCTTAAAATTACATTAATGGTACAAATGAAAAATCAACAAACCTGGATTCTGTTCAAAATCATCGAGAAGTCTGTCCAAGTCACTGACTGCTGCTTTAAAATAACTGTCCATTCTACTTGTAGACTTATTCAGAATTTAATTCTTGTGTGGCTAAAAAATACAAAGTATGATAGTTCCTTTAATTCATTATATTCCTTTAATTCCACATATTGCATGCCAAGAAACATAGTCATGGAATAGACACAAATAAAATTTAAGAGTATTGCTTTGAAGAATCTGTGATATATTTGGGGAAATTCCTCTATACATACAAAAATGACATGAAAACAAACTCTTTAACAATATAACATGTATACATAAACTACTGTAAAATTTAAAACACTCATCTAAATAACTCATGGGTCAAAGAATTCATAGCTGAAAACTAAAAATAGTTGTAAGTACCATGTATCAAATAATATAAAATATACTACATATAAATAATACTGCATGTAAAAAGTTGTGAGAATCAGTAAAAGTGGCACTTCAACAGATACGTAGAGACTTAGATGCTTAAACTAGGAAAGAAAGACAAGAAATAAGCTAAGAGCAGAAATTAAAGAAACAGAAAATAAGCATACGAGAGAGGTACAAGAAAGCTAAAATTAACTTTATGAATAAAGTAGATGAACCTTTGATTTGTGGCAGGAAGTCCACCAAATAAGCCTGAGAGACCTTGAAGGAGTCTATCAATGACTAATGGGAAAATATAAAAGAACACTGGGGCTAAGCTGAAAGTGATCCCACTGGCTTAAATGGGACAAGTGAACATCAAATAAATGAGGCCTGACCACAAATCAAGTGGATTAAACACACACACACACACCAAGAGATCATAATGATACTAAAAACAGAAACAAAAACCACCACTCACTAGAGGGTTGCGAGGGCAGTAACCCATTACTCTGAAAATTGATATATTAAGAGAAAAGAAGAATTTATTTTGCCCTTTATTTACAAAATGTACTTTAGGATAACAAAATAGTTGCTAAGGAAGAGTTCTTTAGATAAGAATTCCAGTTGATAAATGCAGAAGGATGTTAACATTTTAAAAATCATCTCTTCACAGTCCCTAATGCAATAAATGGACTAGGCAATGGCTATCAATGGATGTCTAAACTGTTGGATGAAAGGCTGGTGGAAAACTTTATAACGTGGGATCAGGCCAATACATATGAATCCGGTGATCAATTTCACCATCAATAAATGTGAAAGAACCAAACATTATGTGCTTCATGTGGAAAACACAGAATCACATACAAAATATTCCTGCCTTAAAAAATAAGAACAGCAACTGACTCCAAATCTAATCGAGCTTTTAGCACTAACTGCATGTTGACAGGAAATTCAAGCATAGAGCAACAAGTTAAAGGACGTCATAAGAAAGCAATTAAGACTAAGTGCAGACGGGGGAACACTTCCAGCAATGTTCCTCAAACAGTTGATGGTGAATGACTTTTTAAGCTTTCAGTCTGTTACAAGCTGTTACTTTTGTAAAACACAATACAAATTTTGCAATAATATACAAACAAAAAGATATACATTATTAAACACATGTGAATGGCAGCCTGGAGTAAGGAAAAGGAGAAGGAAATGAAAGATACAAGACAATAAACAAATGAGAGTGCTTTACTAGTCACTGATGATAGTTACCACAAACTGGGGACACAAGGCTCAAAAAAATGATACTTTAAAGACGCAATTAAAAAGGTTAGACAGAGTTTAATACAGAATCAAAGAACTGAAGACCTATCTGAAGAAATAACCTCAAATGCAGCCCAGAGAAATAGGGAAGAAGAAAATATGAAAAGAAGTTAAGAAACATGGATGACAGAATGAGACTGGCGCCCTACCAGGAGGATGGAGAGCACGGAACAAGCATGCTTGTAAAGATACTGCTAGGAGGTCCAGCACTGATCAAAGGCACAACAGATACAGGCCACCCATTACCAAGCAACATAAACACAGCTGACCCTTGAACTACATGGGTCGAACTGCACAGTTCACTTACATGCAGGTTTTTTTCAATAGTAAAGACTGCAATACTGCACAATCAGGGTTGGTGGAATCATGGATATGGAAGAACCATGGATACAGAGGACTGACTATAGGTTATGGAAGAATTTTTGAGCAGAGGTCAGCATCCCTAACCCTCATATGGTTCAGCAGACCACAAAGAGGAATCCATAGTTACTCTATAGTGAAACTTTTGAATCCTGAAGACAGAAGAGACAGAAGGAAAGGGTCATCTTCAAAGGAACAATTAATTATCCTAGCACAAGATAAACTTCAGAACAATTCTCAATAAAAATGGTATGTCATCCTAATTCATTTAAGTGTATTACTTCTATTTCTATTTTTAAATTGTGGTTATACCATACATATACAAAAGTACATGAAAACACACAGACACCAAAAGAAATAAAAGGAACTTGGAGGAAGAGATAATATAGGAAGAAGAAAACATCAAAGAAACTTACATTCTCAGAAAAAAAGCAATACAACTATGAAACAGCAACAGGAAGCCATACATTAGGAATATATGGAGAAAAAAGTAATCGGAAATTGATAGCAGAAATCTAAAAATTCAAGTGAGGCTTACAGGATGAAGTAAAAGCAGTGCTTAGAGGGGTTTTTAATAGTATTAAGTGCATATATTAAAAAAAGGAGAATGATCTAAAAATCAATAAGTTTCCATCTTGGGAAATCAGAAAAAAAGGAATTTAAGGCCAAAGTAGGTAGCAGAAAAGATAAATAAAATACATTAGAGCAGAAATCAATAAGTTAAAAACAGGAAAACAACAAAGAAATGAAGAAAATTACTGAAACCAAAAACTCTTTACAAAAGTAAAGTTGATAAACTAGGCTAATTTTAAAAAGAGAGAAATACAAATTACCAATATCAGAAATGAGAGAGGGGTCATAACTACTGATATCATGGACACTTAGAGAAAAATAAGAGGAATATTATGAACAACTCTATATCCCCAAACGTGATCATTTCAATGAAATGGACCAATTTCTTGAAAAACACAAACTACCAAAATTTCCACAGGAGAAACAGATAACCTAAATTCTTACATACATCAATGAAACTGAATAAATAATTAATAACCTTCCACAAAATAAGCCACCAAGTCTAGACAGCTTCACTTGTGAATTTTAACAAACATTTAATGAAGAAATGATCCCAATTCTCCAAAGTCTCCTCCAGAAAAATGAAGCAGAGGAAACACTTCCTGAATCATTCTATAAGATCAGCATGACTCTAACACCAAACCATAAAGACATTACAGGAAAGGAAAACTGCAGACCAATGTAGCTTATGAACACAAGACGCAAAAATCTACAACAAGATCTACCAAACTGAATCCAACAGTGCATAAACAGAATTATACACAACCACCAAATGGATTTATCCAGGTATACAAGGTGGGTTCAACATCTGAAGATTAATCAATGTAATGTACCACATCAACAGACTGAAGAAGAGTTATCAAATAATCATACTAACTGAGGCAAAAGAAAACCCATTTGACAAAACCCAATACATGATAAAAACTCTCAGCAAATTATGATTAGAGGGGAACTTCTTCAGTTTGGTAAAGAATATCTACAAAATACCTATAGCTCCTTCCATGGACACATCAAAATTACTATTTATTTTTAAAATATTTCTTTCTTTATTGTGGCTGTGCCAGGTCTCAGCTGTGGCATGTGGTTATCTTCGATCTGTTATGGCATGCAGGATCTTTTAGTTGTCGCAGGCAAACTTAGGTGCAGCATGTGGGATCTAGTCCCCTGACCAAGGATCAAACCCAGGCTCCCTGCTTTGGAAATGCAGGGTCTTAGCCACTGGACCACCAAGAAAGTCCTAAGATTACTATTTAAAGAGCAACCACTGATGAAAACTTGCAGAAAAGATCTTCTATAACTTAATAGAAAGAAACCACAACAAGACGGGCAGGAAAGGTGGAGACATGGTACAGTTAAGACACATAGCCCTGGGTGGGTGACCCATAAACAGCATAAACGATTGCAGAGGTTCTGCCCAAGGATTGAGAAGCCTCAGCCCCACAGCAAGTTTCCCAGCCTGGAGGTCCTGAAACAGGACAAGCCCCCTAAAACATTAGGCTTTAGGCTTACACTCAGGAAAGCCAGAGGGCCGGGAGAAACAGAGACTTAAGAGTTCCCACAAAATCACACATGCTCTGAGATCCAGGGAAGAAGCAGTAATTTGAGAGGAGGTTGTGTCAGACTCACTTGCTGATTTCAGAGAGCCTCTTGGAGAGGCAGGAGGCAACTGGGACTTACCCTGGGGACACAGATGCTGGCATCGGTGATTTTGAAGAGCTCATTCTACCATTTGGATACTTGTGATGATAAGCATCATCTGGCTTATTAGCCACAAGATCTGGACCCAACCAACAGCAGGCCAGCATCAGCTCCAGGACACCCCAGATCTCAAAGCCACCCATGTCAGGAAACAGCCCCACCTACCAGCAGGCAGGCCAATATCAGCCTCAGGACCCAACTTCGCCCACTAATGGGCCAGTACTAGTCCTGGGCCAATCAGCTCATAACCCAGCCCTGTCCACCAGCAGTCCAGCATCAGGATTGGGACACCTCAGGCCATACAGCCAGCCATGCCAGGACCTGCCCCTGCCACCAGCAGCGGGCAGCCTTCACACTACTCAGGGCCTGGCAACCACACCAGAGGTCAGCCACACCTACCAGGATGCCCACAGCAGTCATCCCACCACAAAGGAAGGGCCCATGCCGTCCACCTAGAGTGCACTCTCTAGAGCACAGAGGTCTGGGGACGAGAGGGGAGAGTGCTATGGACACCACAGGACACCTTCTACGTAAGGCCACTAGTCCAAAAGCAGGAAGTGCAACCAACCTACCAAGTACACAGAATTAGAGACAGAATGAGGCAACAGAAGAGTATGTCCCAAATGAAGGAATAAAAGAAAACCCCAGAGGAAGAACTAAGTAGAGATAAGCAACCCACTTGATAAAGAGTTCATGGTAATGGTCATGAAAATGCTCAAGCACTTGGTGAAAGAACA